CTATGTAAATTTATGAGCATTTTCATTTCGATCAATTTACTTTGGACCTCATATTTTTTGTGGCTGTGTGTTGGGTGTGTGTGTGTGTGTGTGTGTGTGTGTGTGACTGACTGACCAAATGTCTATTTTATTTATGCCTTTTACGAGAGATGACCCAACGCACAAAAAAAAAAATTTATTCATTGAAGTTTTTACAGTCAACTACACCTTTTCAATGTGGATAAAGATGAGCACGTTTATGCTAACCTTCTCTCTCTCGCTCTCTCGCTCTCTATCCCAGTCACAGTCTCTCTCGCTGGCTGTCTTTTTGCTTTTTTTTTCTACTTTCTCTCTGTCTAGCTCTTATGCTGCTGTAATCATTCATACTTCATCAAGTTGACCGACTACGGCTTGGCTTTTTATTCTGTTCTGTTTCTTTGGCCTGCGGTGTGACCGTTGCCGTTGGCTTCATTGCTATGCAAACTGCTCCCAATGGCTACGTTTAATGGTCAAGTGTGTAAAATTGCATAGCAAATCGTAGTCCGGTCTAGTCCAATTCGGGGCGATGGATGTGCTATGTCCTTAGATAAACATCATTGCCTTGCCTTGCCTTGCCTAAGCCGTTGCTGGTTGTTGTTGTTGCTGTTGTTTCTTCTCTTACATATTGATGTGATTTACCACTTATGTCTTTGGGGCGTCCAACAGTTTACTGTGCAAATTGTTTGGAACTCAGTTTTAAATCAAGCGCCCCTTTTCATTTGTGTGAGCGTGTTTGTGTTATGATACATGAAGGCATATGTGATGCTCGTTAAGACAGTAAAAGTCTGACCAATATATCGCTTATCTTGTGCGTTCTTCTTTTCCTCCTGACATGTGGACCAATCCAATCCAATCCAATCGCAAGCAAATTATGTATTTCGTGCGCCACCAGGTCCTTCAACATTTGATGGATTTTCAATTTGCATACCAACATTCTGGTGAAGATATATTTATACATATAAGTTTGTATCCCAGTCCTATACATAAGCATTGCCCAATTTCTGATCGGACTATGGCAACCGTTCGTCGTCCAGCCGATTGTCCGTTCATAGTTGAGTTGTTTTAGTTGATTTCATTATAATTTCGATTTGCATAAGCAAAATGTCTAAGCAACAATTTGTTTAAGCCACCAACCTCAGCCTTATCCCCGTTGTGTTAGATTGAATCGCATGGGATTTGCCTGACATCGTCAGCAGCGACAGTTCATCATCAACAGCAACAGAATCGTTCGCTTACGGAGTGGTGGGGAAACTCCAACTGCTCGTCAAGTTGCGACAGTGAATCAATTTTGGGTTCTGGCTGCCAGTTAACCCTCCTTCCTCCCGCCACAAGCTAGCTCCTATTGCCAAGGAGCTGCTCACATTTCATTAGCTTGTCAACATTTGTGTAGCTTTGGCCATGTCTTTGACACTTCGGCCTGCGGCTCTCTCTCTCTCTCTCTCCCACTTTATGCTGTCTGTGTGTGCCTGTATGTATGTGTAAGCAGCAAATTGAAGTTGCCATAGATGCTTCATTGTTGCTGTTGTTGCCTTAAATAGTTAAACTGCTTAGCGAACACTGCTGTTGCGTAGGTCTTGTGATTTTGGGGGTCTGGACCCCAAATTCAGGCTAGGATCACATGCTGTACTGGGCATGGACTCGAGGAAATGGTCGCCCCTTTTGGTTGCTATGCAAATCAATTTGCTAGGCGTTGCCGATGCGGCTATTTGTCTACTTTGTGCGGCTCTAGTTGTTGTTGTTTTAGCCTGTGTTCTGCTGTGTAAAGTGTAACACAGTTCCTGGGCAAGTTCATTAGTCTCATCATCAGCAGCAGCAGTAGCACCAACAACTTTATTTAGTTAACTTTTATTGAAAGGCGTTTGAACTTTGATATCCCATTTTGTTAACTTCATCTGCATCTGGTTTTGACTGCCTGTGCGTCGACTACCACGACTTCATTTAATTTGGTTTAATTGCCATAATTTAGCAAAATGCTTTTGTTGCTTCCATTGGTATTGCCATTATTGGCCTGCTTTGGTTTTTTCATGCAAATTTAATTGACGCACAAATTTAAAGCTTAAAAATTACCGCGGAAGCAACAGACCTGTGGCTGTGCCAGTGCCTGTCCCTGGGCTTGGGCCTGGGTAACAAGGCAGCAACAGCTCCACAATGCACAAACCCTTTGAACAAAGCAAGAGCATGAATGGAAATCATAAATTTTGCCAGCAGCCATAAAAGGATGCCTTTCACACACACACACACACAAATAGAAGCAATGTAAATACACGTGTGGGTGTGCATGTCTATTTGCGTGTGTGTGTGTGTGTGTGTATGTGTGTGTATGCTATCGATATCCCAAAATCTATACAAAGTGCTTTACAAAGGCAACGACTGCCTGCCTCGCTAGCAGGTGGGTGGTAGGTAAAGTTCCTAGAAAAAGCTAAAGAAAGCAAAAAAACCAAAAAAGGAATACACGAAAAATCGCAGCACGTAAACCGCCATGAAATATGCTCAGATTGCTTGGCATTCTTCCTACAAATTTGTGTAAGAGTATGTGTGAGTGTGTGTGTCGGTTTGAGTATGTGTGTGTGACTGTGTGTGTGTGTGTGTGTGTGTGTGTGTGCTGTCATTTTATTTATTTTGTTGCCTTTTGCTTTATTGTCAGGCGCAGCCAAATTTTATTAGGCACTCTGCTTAATGCATGCAACAGTTTTTCGGCAACAGGCAGCAGACAACAGCCAATTAGGCATAGTCAAGCGGCAAGCGGCAAGTGGCAAGCAGCAAGTGGGAGACGACAGCAGCAGCAAATGGTTTTGACTCCTGTTGCGCGTTATTGGCACCGTGCCAGGAAGCTCTTTATTGCAGTTTAATAAGCAGCGTCGTTGTGCCTAGTGCCTAGTGCCGAGTCAATTATTTGTCAGCTATAGACGAGGGCATATTTGTAACTTTTCACGCATTGCTTTCAAACCACTTAACGCAAATGATGTTGATATAGCGATGGGCAACTTTTTTCTTATCCGTCGCATTTTTTTTTTTTTTCACCAAAAACTTTGGGCATAAACACACACTTGCCATAACGTGGCACGCTCTACATTTGTGCTGGCGAAACTTGTTGTTGCTCTTGCGCTACTTTCGCTTTCCTAAAAGTAGGCAACAAAAAACAACAACAAGAAAGCCAGAAACCGGCAAAGTCGTTGAGCGCTAAAAGCAACGCAAAATGTAGAAGAAAAAAAAAAGAAAAGAAAACCAAAATTTTTCTACAACTTTTGTGGGTGTGTGTGTTTGTGTGTTGTTAGAACAAGTTAATGTAAAAGTATTTTTATGCTTTGAAAAACATTTGCCAAGCCAAAAATTGTAAAGAAAATAAAAACAACAAACAATAACAACAACAACAAGAACAACAACAACAGCAAGAGCAACAAGAGAGACGAATAAGAAGAGCAGCTCGCGTAGACAAGCTGTAGGCAACACGGAAATTTTGCGGTTGCTGTTCTTGTTAAACAAAATACACGAAAGCGCATAAATAAAATCAAACAAAAACCGAACCAGCTCTCGTTCACATCATCAATGTCAGGAAGAAGACGTTGGGTGGCGGGGCGAAGACATTTGCTTCGGGAAGGGGGCTGGTTTTTTTTGGCTATGAGAACCCCCATATTATCGTCATCGTCAAGGATCAGCCGCAATGCTGTAATTTTGTTATAGGCAATGGCACGTGTGTGTGTGTGCGTCTGTGTGTGTGTGGGTGTGGGTGCACAACCTGCGTTGTCGTTTGGCAAGATAAATGTCTATTTAAATTGTCCCTGTTTCGCTATGTGGCTTGGCCGTCGAGCACAGGGTCGGGTCGTTTCGTGCCGTAACGGGGCTTTGTGTCTAGCGGCATGCCGCCTGCTGCCACTTCACGAGCTCCTCTAGTTAAATCTTTATTGTTATCATAATTTGCTTTTATCCAAGCTCAGGGCTTGTCACTGACTACCCCGGCAACCTGAGCCTAACCTACTTACAACAAGTATATATACATATATATACACAGATATATATATATTGATAAGTATGTATAAACACACACATATATTTCTATGTATATATTTTTATCGTAATTGTTTTCGTGCATATTTATTTATTTATTTTTTTTTTTGCTCTGCTTCTCGTTTGTCAAATGCGGAAAGCGAAACGAAAGCGAAAGTGAAGAGCGACAAAATGGTGCGTAAATAGCATCAGGATCCTCTTGTTTAGCATCTGTGCGTTGCTTTGCTTTTGCTTGCTTTGCAAATCAATAAAAGTAGATAATTGAGATTTCTTTAACAAGATTTTGGGTGTCATGATATTAAAATTATAAGTAGGCAGTCGACAGTAGGCAGTAGGCAGCAGGCAGTAGGCAGTAGGCAGCAGCGGCATAAATTACTCATAATTTGATTGCAAGTGAGACCTTGAAAATGATATGCCCAAGGCTAGAATGCTAGCGGATGAAATGGTGGTTGTTAACCATCTGGGGAAATAGGCTCATTACGCACAAAGAAAATGTCAAAATTGTTGAAATTTAATATTTCCGGTGGATAAGCAAAAAAAAAAAAACAATTTATCTAATTATGGAAATCATTGATGCAAAGCATTAAAAAAAAATATACATAAACATTCATATCATCTAATTATAACTCTCATTAAGATGAGTATTTTTATTTTATATATTTATTACGTATTTATAGAAATGTTTTAGATTTCAATTCTGTTTATTTAATTAGTAGTACTTGTATTTGTAAGTGAAAAAAAAAAAAAACAATTTAAATTTTAGTAATTGTCGTAAAACGAAACCAGTACATTAATTATTATTGCATTTGATATTGTGTACCTCTCAATTACTATAAATAAAGTATATATATATATATACATATATATATATAAATCCAGAGATTTGTTGTCCAACTGTCCACGTTTTATTTTAGACTTAAGCGCGTCGTAAACTATGCCATAAAAATTAATCAATTTCTCCATTTTCTCCGTTGCAGGTAAGGATCGATGAACAATTTATCTATAAACTCAATCATTTGGTAAGCCGAAAGCAAATATCATACTATATAAACCACACACATAAAACTGAACAGTATAGCTGTGATGCGTGATGCATAAGAACCATTTTCAATTGACAACGTCCGCAAACAATTGTGCAGCTCCTTTTTTCCTTTTTAACCATAGTAGAGCGTGAGCGGTATAATTGAATTTTAAATAAACTCACTCAAATGATGCACAGACACACACAAAAAAAAAAAGAAAAGAAAAACACTTTCACACACACACAAACACACACAGGCACACACACACACACACAACGGCACACGCACGTTTCAGGCGAGTCAAGTCCTGTTGGCAGGCGTGTGCTCTTCTCTGCCGTTTTATACTTGTCTTCTTCTTGTTAACTGTAAATAAATTTCATCGAATTTTCTTGAGCAGCTATGCCCCTCAAGGTGGTGTACGTATCGTTGCGTCGCAACGGACTCCTTGTGCAACCGCATCCTGCGCCATAAAGTATGCAATTTTATTTTAGTGCGCCCGGCACTTACCTGGCTAGCTGGCTGGCTGGCTGGCTGGCAGGCTGTCTGTTGGCCCGTCTTGGTTGCCAGGCTCTCTGCTGCTTTTGCTATTGCTACTGCTGGTGCTGCTGCTGCTGTTGCTTTTATTTGTTGCTTTAATGTTATAAAATATTTAAGTTCACATTTCTTACACACGCTTTTGCTACTTGATCCTGGCCACCGTTTACAGCTAAGGCACAAGATTTGCCATGTGCTCGGCAGGTGTTGTTGTTGCCTGTACTTGCTGTTATGTGTATTGTTGTTGCCCTGATGCTGCGGTCGTCTCATTGCATTGCTTGAGTTGTTGGCTGACCATTTTTATAACTGGATTTTCAAGCAGCATCTTAGCCGGTCAGCTCAACAGCTTGGCACTTCACGCTACAGCAAGTCACACACACACACACCGATACCCACACCCACACACAAGCACAATCACACTCACACATACATATTTGGCTGGCTTTAATATTTGTTTTGCCATTGTCGTCCTCTCAGACCAATCACCTGACCCAAGAGCTGACCTCATCTAGCTATTTGTGCTGCACTTGCCACTGCCTCTGTGATAAACTGCAATTTCATTTTTATCAGCAAACATAATTAACTATGTTGTCCGAACTCTGGTGTGCATGTGCGCACTTCAGCTGGACATTTTTTTTTCAAAGTTCAATTAGTCAACTAAATGCCATGCAGCAGCCATTAGATAATTAATTTAACACTTACTAACAAACTAACCCACAGCCTCCTAACTAATTGGCTTTCATTTGCCAATTCAATAAAAATAAAAGTAAAATGCGAGTAAAAAGCAAAAGAAAGGGAAACCGACAGGAGCAGTCAGGCACAGACAGTCAGTAGCCAGACAGGCAGACAAGCGGATAGCAGACAGCAGACAGCAGACAGGATTAAGTCGAAAGTCAAAGCAAAACCGAAAGCTAACGATTTGCGAGAGCGCAGAGCTATCAGCTGCCAGTTCTTCACTCTACACTCTTCACCCATGGAAGTCATTAATGCTATTTGCGGCACATTTGGGGTTGAACTTCGACTAAACGGACTCCGGCTAGGCCTGCCTCAGACCTCACAGCTCAAAATGCTTCAATGAACTGGTCAAATGTACAAAATTGGTCGGGCGGTGGTCAGGTGTATGTGTCTCTAGTGCTGCCTGCTGAAGCTGGCTGGCAAAATTAATGTGCCAAGTAAAAAGGTTAATTTCAAAGTAAGAAAATGTAGCGAGTAGAATAAGCAAAGCTATTAACAATGAAATACCCTTCACGCTTGCCTTTCTTAGCCCCAGCCCTTAAGATAGAAGCAAACCCTTTGCACTTCTTCTATTATATGTATATGAAAAACTTTAGACGCAAACTTGTTGCGTGCTTTGTGTGCAGCACATCAAGCTAACAAAATGAAGTCAAGTGCAAATAGAAGTAAAGATAGACCAACGTAGAACTTTCCTTTCATTTTTATCTTTGCTTTTGTGATGTTTAGCAACGGGTGCTACTCATTAAGAAAAGAGTGAAGGCTACAAAAAAAAAAAAAAATAAAAAATTAAAACAAATATAACACAAAAAGTTACAACGTTTATAGACAAAAAAAAAGGGGGCGATTGAGGTGCGTTTGGCGGCGCCTTTAGCATTAAACTCATTAACGGTAATTGCAACCTTTTGGCCGTACAACCTCAAAGCATTGCTCGTCTGCTTTTTAAAAAACGTAATTCTATTAATTAATTTTCGCATATGGCACAGACTGGCTCGACTGATAACAACAACAAAAACAGCAACAAAATCTCGTTAGGACAACCATTTGTCGATATAGCCTGAACTGGTTGTCAATCAACGGAGAGAGCCCTTAACGCATCCTTGCCACCGCTGCTGTGTTTGTCACTTTGACTTTTGGTGCTTTTCAATTACAAAAAAAAAAAAAAAAATAATACAAAAAAAAAAACGAAAAAGCAGGAAAAATGAAGAAAACGAAGCAAAAGAAAAAAATGGGGGCTCGAACGGCAGCAACCGAGAGCTTCCTGTTGCTGACACTGATTGTCGTTGTTGGCGGTGCGCAGTTCGCATTACGGGGCGCATAATTTGTCCTGCGGCCAAATGTTCTATTATCAATCTGTGTGTGTGTGTGTGTGTGTGTGTTGGTGTGTGTTTTCGTTCGTAGAAATAATATCCATCAGCTGGCAAGGGAAGAGCACTCAAAAGATGCCCCAGATAGAGATAAGAGCCGCAGGCATTTAACTGAATTTGAGTGGAAAATAAAAGCAAAGTAAATCGAAACCAAACGCAGCTTAAGGAGTCGCTTCTCCATACTTGCCGCTGCTCCTGCTGCTGCTGCTGTTACTGCTGCCGATGGCGACCTGTAGACAGCCCTAATCAACATGTACATCAGTTGGCGGCTCCCCTGGGCAACCCCTAAGCACTCAGCACTGATGGTGGCACCCCTTTTTGGGCTTGTTTTTTTCTTTATACACATGTACATAGACATCTGTGTGTGTGTGTGTGTGTGTGTGTGTGCTAGGCCCCCGTTTATGCTTATGGTTAGTGCAACTGGACAAAAAGCCAGAGTCAAAAAAAAAACAACTTTTTTCTATTGTAATCAACTTAATTGCAACCATGAGAGGGGAGAGGGTGTGTGTGTGTGTGTGTGTGTGTGTGTGTGTGTGAAAGAGAGCGAGTAATTGTGAGTAATTGCTGTTAATATAACAGGGCTGGACAAGAGGGACGCATGCATAAGGCCCGAAAGCACGCAATGAATATATGAAAACAACAATAACAACAACACTCGTCGCTGGCGTAGACAAAGCTAAAAATTGATATTAATTTTGTTTTAGCGCAACGCGCATGGAATGTCCATAAAAAGCCCAACGAAAAAATGGCATTTGGCCTAGCTGGCTGTGGCTGTTCATAGCAAAAAAAAATTAAAATAAATAAAAGAGAAAAACACAATTTTGCTCACTTTTTATGCCTTATTATACCGCAGCGAGTAATTTTGCTTGACTTGTGGCATATTTCTTTGGCATTACGGTCATCCAGCCAGGAAATATCAAATTAATTAGTCGAGCTTTGTTGTCCTCATGCTTCTGCGAGAGCAATAACAACTATGACGAAAGTTGACATAACTGTGTTGACCACAGGGCTTAAAAGCAAAATTTGCATGCTTGATATAATTAAGTACATGCCTCAATTAAATATTTTGTAAAGCCAAATAATCCGATAGACAGGCTGTTGCAGTTTGTTAGCATACGCAAATATATTACATATTTCACTTAATAAAATAGTAGAAAATTAGAATATTGAGCGCAAATATATATTGCACATTGTTAAACATAATAACATGCTATAATTGCATTTAATTAAGTCTTAACAATTAAAATGTATTATGGTAAAGTGAGCAATTATAAACATATATCAGAGTATGATATCTTTAAATAGATTATAGACGTATCAAAGGACACTTGATTACAATTCTATTTTGCTAGCCTTAGCAGAGAGTCCTTTATTTATGGTTTCCAGCCAACGACTTCAGTTTATCAAGCTGGCCAGCACAAGTTGTTCATCAAGTTGAAGCTGACAACAACAGCAGCAACAACTTAGGCTTATCAATCTCTTCAATTGTCATTCAGTCAGCTGCCACATAATGAGCGTAAAGTATGCTCAAATGTAAATACGGCAAACGTCGCGACGTCGTCTGTTGGCCAGGCCAAGGACAGAGGCAGACAATTGGCCCGAGGACATGTGCGATTTACTCGGCTTTGTCCTGTGTTGCGGTTGCTTGACTTTTGCTTTGCCTAAATGCCTCAATGCCTTAATTATATTTATTTATTTTTTTCCTACTTCTCCTGCTGTAATTAGCTGTAAATCACGAGTTGTGCCAGGCATAATTGGATTTCCACAGCGCTCAAAAGTATGCAGAACTTTCTGTTGTTGCTTATTGCTTTGTTTGTTTGGCTTGTGTTGCTTGTGTTGCTTGTGGCTGTGCGTTTAACACAAATGTTGCAACAAAAGCAACAACAATCACAGCGCAAACAGATGAAAATCTGTCCATTGTTTCAAGTTTTGTTAGCTGCTTAATAAAATTTAACAGCTGCAACGGTATGCGGCACTAAAACCAAGAAAACTATTTCAATGCACACACACACACACAGACACACACACTCAAAAACCCAACACACAGTTCCAAAGAGAAATGCAAAAAGTAAAAGCAAAGACACCAAAAGCAACAATGGCAACAACAAAGACAAAAGCAAAGCAGGCAGCGTGCAGTCAAACTTTTTAAGTGTTTATTTCAATTATTGTTTGTATGTGTGTGTGTGTGTGTGTGTCGTCTGAGTGTGTTTGTATACGGTGTATGTGTGTTTGTGTGTGTGTGTGTGTTGGCGGGTGTTTTTGGCTGCCAACAAACAAGGAGAAAGAGTCCTAGCCAGAATGAGGGCAATTTAATTTTCCGCATTTTGTGCAGGGCACGAAGGCGACAGCAACTACCAAAAAACA